GACAGTGGTTGGCGACGTGGTGTTGTTGTTCGACAACTGACACGAGACCGAGCTCTCTTCCTGGTTCTCAGTCTCCGCCGGAGACTTGGCTACAGTCTTCCTTAACTCACTGTCTGACTCGTGTACGGGACAGGCGGGCGAATAGTCGCTATTCGTTTCGTTCGCTAGTCGCTGTCGGTCGTCGTGATCGTGTTGTTGTGCGTGTGTTTGCGAGGAGTCTATCGTGGACGCAGTCAGGCCAGGTACGGTAACACCGACGAAGCTGTTGGACTGGGGACTGGGACTTCTGGGCGGTGTCAGAAGAAGCGTCTCTGTCGGGTGTGCTGGGCTGGCCGTGTCGGTTACGTAACTACTACTCGTCGTCGCTAGCGGGCAAGAGAGCTCTTCCGGTGGTAAGGGGTATTCGAACGAGTCCGCGCTCGGGACCGTGCTCTGGGGTGCCGCGGGAAGATCGTCCGGGACTCGATCTAGACTCTGATCTAGCCTGTCATCCGAAGATTGACTGCTCTTTTTAGACTTTTTCGGGACACACTTGGCGTCCTCGTCGTCCGAAGATCTACTCGGGACTCGTGGAGATTCTACAGGAACTAAAGGAGGAACTGAGATTGCGTCTGGAACTGGACAGTCTTCTGTTGCGTTATCCGGCTCCCTAGGGGAATCACTCTCATTCGCGTCTTCCGTTCGTCGCTGTTCCGACTCGACGATTTCAGGAGAAACTGAGACTTTCTCTACGACCGGGCAGTCCTCTATCGTTTCTATGCCGTCTTCCGACTGGCCGGGGGAGTCCTTCTCGTTCCCTATCTCGGTTTCCTGCTCTGACTCTAGGTGCGAAGTTAGATCTAGGACGGGGGATGAAGGCACTGCGGAGTCTTCGTCGACGATCTCCGAGTCGAATTTGTCGCGAACGACCGGCTCCGGTTCTTGCTCTGGCGGAGGAGGCAGGCTGTTTTCGTCTTCCATCAGGATCTCGATCACCTCGGTGACTTTTTTCGCTTCGTCCTCGACGATGTAGATGGCGTCCGACGACTGGTCGGGCTCCGTCGTGTCTCCGGTGGAGAGGACTTCCGGCTCGTCGATCGCCAGCTCTTCTTCCGCAGGGACGACCACGTCGGCGTCCATTTCCGTCGCGTATTTGTCCTCCACGTCGGGGATCACTTCCACCGATTCGGTGTCCACTTTCGAGACATCCGCTTCGGTGTCCTCTATCGCCTCCTCGACCGTCACCTCGACGACCTCTTCTTCTTCGGGAATCACCACCGCGGGTTTCGCCTCGACCACTATCTCCTCCGAGAGCGGCACCGGACCTTCCTCCGATTCCAGGATCAAATCGCTCGTCGTGACTGGTGGATCGATGACCACTCTCTCGGAAGTGGGCGCGGTTGTTTCTTCGACGACTGCCGCAACTTCGACGACTTCCTCGACGACCGATTCCACGACGCGTTCCGAAGATTCTACCGGCGTTTCCTGTGGACGTATCTCGGGCTCTGAAGTTTGTTCGGGTGTTTCCGGCGTTCTTTCCCTCGAAACTTTGCTACCTACTTCGCAAACCGTTTCAGACTCGATTATTTCTTCGACGATTCCTACTTCCTCGGTTACGAGAGGCTCGGCGCATATAACCTCGACTTTCTCTTCGACTTTGATTTCGATACTTCCGGCTGGTTTTTCCTCGATCGCCGCTTCCACCGTTACTTCCTCTTTCTCGATCTTCTCGAACACAAGCTTCTCAGATGGAATTTCTTTGCTAGTTTCAACTTCTTCCTTTACTAGTCGATCTATCTTGCAAACGTCTGGTTCTACGCTCGGTCCAACCGATTCGATTTCCTCTTTTGCAACCGGCCGAGCCTCCGCCTCCTCCTTCACAGCTTCTCGGTCCTTTATCTCGCAGACATCCGACTCTACAGTCGATTCAGCCTCGGCGGCTTCCTCTTTCGCAACTGGCTGAGCCTCGACCTCCTCTTTCGCAACAGCTCGATCCTCGATCTCGCGGACCTCCGACTCTGCAGTCGATTCAGCCTCGACGGCCTCCTTCGCAGCTGGCTGCGCTTCGATCTCTACTGCAACCGGCCGAGCCTCGACCTCCTCCTTCGCAACCGGTTTATCCTCGATCTTGCAAACATCCGACTCAGGACTCGCTCTAACCTCATCGACCTCTTTCGCTACCGGTTCCTCCTGAATCTCGCGAACATCCGACTCAGGACTCGCTCTAACCTCATCAAC